CATATATAGAATTCTAACCCACCACCTCTTCAACCTACTCCTCCTGAACCACGTTTAAAGTGTTGCGTGTAAAATCACAACACCGACCCTCTATACCTCAAAGAAGCGCTCTCAGCATGAGCGCCGCAGAGCCAATCCAATTAAAATGCATAAATCTGCCTCGTACGCCTCCCAGCACTGGCCTTTGAGTCATGAAATACAGCCGGTCAGGGGCAGAAAGGGTGGCGGCCCTTACTGGAGGTTCACCTATGCTACACTGGGAAATTTATGAAGTGCATGGTGATATGGGGAGCACGGAAAGCGGTATGAATCACAGCGACTGGCAAATTCGTCACATTTAAAAAGGGCTGGGGGAGATAGTCTTGCCTGTATGAAGGGGAGATGACATTCAACAGAAGCAACTAATGTCACCGTATGATAACTTATGATAGCACGTGTGTGGGTAGTTTCTTTGACAGTTAATGCTTTGAACGCAAATAGATCACTCCACAACAAAGCCGTGGGAGCAGCATTTGAACGTCCAGCGAGGTTCATAATAAAGCCCCACGTCGTTTCGTAGTGATGTCTAAAATCTACAGCGTTTCCTTTGAACACCGTGATGAACGTTAGTCAAACATTACCGCCATCAACTAGTGGCAAATTCAGATTTACACTTTGTACGAGCCCACAGGGGATAGAGGCTCTTCCTTGTAGTCAAATGTCTCTCTGGGGCATGTCTTCAACACCATCGTGGACTAAATAACAGCCTCAAGACGGAGGCAACAGACGGACTATATTTCTTGAACTTGTACTTGTCCTTTACCCGTATTTAAAAACGGTTTCTTTCTCAATCCGACCCTTTGGCAAACTTGGCAAATGGGAGGCTTAAATAAAAGGAAATGGCACAATGCTGGCCCTTAGGAGGTCAAATCAGCGCAAGCTATTCAGGGATGTGAAAAATACACTTTGAACTACTCTGATGAAATGGTGGACTTAAGTAATGGGCCAGGTCTTGCATCAACAAAGAGGTCAATTTTTAATACTGGCTCCCGACGCAGATATTATTACAGTTTCTTGAATAACTGTTGCTCTCACAGTGTGTAGGGATATGAATAAATGCAATGAATTAGCTGCACTTGTTACAGAAGGTGATCTAATGTATTTTTAATGGATTGGAAAGAGTGGTACAGCAACACAATATATGTTATAATTATTCTTAAAGGTAATGTTTGGCCGTTTACTGTTGATTAGGGTTGTGTCTTTCCTGGTGAGGGGGTCCGTCAGCAGTCAAACCTTCCAAACAATTGATCCTATAGCATCTTAGAGACCACTGTGATATGACGTAAAGGCACCATGCTGACCACTCATATAGCCACTCGGTCACTACAAGATCAAATATGCAAAACATTTTTTAATCACATCAAAGGTTACACAATGTCCCATTACCTCTAAATCTGTTTATTTCAATTGATTCGCTAATTCGCTAAAATTGGGTTGAAATCTTTCTCGGTTTGGTTCAAAACTTGAATATTCGGAGTATGGGTAGTTTTAGTAGTTTAAAAAATAATCATTCCGACAGTGAGATGACTCTTATACAGTCATTACAATCCAACTTTTGTTGCCAGAATCATCCAGTCTTTGACACATGTAGTTCTTAAACACTGATTACAGGTGCAAACCACTTGTTGGAGTTTAGCTAGAAACGGTTAAACCTCTGTGTATTATTTATGACTACTTAGTTTTGTATCTGCTTTCCGACTTCATGATCAATAAGAAGAAGTCCACTTTAAAATATGTCTGGGGAAGGTTAAATATGTTGTTGGCACATGTAGAAGTAATTTAAAAGTATACAGTGCCTTTAAATGCCATATTGTGCAAGGTTTCAGAAAAAATAAATAAATATCATTTTGTGGAACTTTTGTGTAAAAAAAGAACGAGCCTACAGCTGTAACTTGACTTAACACATGTTTTTTTACAATCTCTAATATCTGTATGCATCCTGTTAACACCATTCAACTATCTGTGCGCGGATAATTAGGCAATGCAAGCGTTTGGCAGAGATCTCGCTTTCACAGAACTATTTCTGATTTGTTTTGAGTGTTATGACACGAGTCGATGCATGCATTCAATAGTTTGGCAGAATGCATGTGATTCCAAGTTTAATCACAAGATGCCCTTAGCTTTATTCATGCGAAATCCCGAGGTCAAAGTCAATTCAGAACACAGAGCCTAAGATAGCACTATTTATAAGCAACAGTTTACAAAAGGGACCAATAATCTCTTACTTACAGATGCCGATTGCCAGTTTTTAATTTGTTTATGCGGCCAAAGGCAACTCCAGTTATGATCCCTTTCAGTTTTTTAACTTCAGAATAACAAAACACAATCTGGAGATGAGTGACTTCAAATGCCCTTGACAAAGTTTCAATCGCGCTACCTCGGCTGCACTGGCTGACTTCATTCAAAACTTTCAGACATAATTATATTTAATCATTTGAAAAGACGGGACAGGAGATCAGAAACAGCGACCCAAAAGCCCTAAACATATTCTGCTTTTTGTATTAATCAGGAAGCAACAATATGCAGATTGCAAGTTATTCAGAAACAGAATAAAAAATAATTAATCCCGATGAGACGTGTGTTTGGAGTTTTTCTTCTGTTCTCACTCGCTAACAGCATCGCATTGACTGTGTATCCAACAGCAGGGGTAGGGCCATATATGTGGGCTGATTCTCCACATGACAACTACATTATTATCAATATTAAATGTGAGATGGCAGTACTCCACATATTTTTTACTGGATTTGTCCGTTTTATTCCGCATAAGCTGTTTGAACCATTACATATCTATGCATTTATCCAAATTTGTACACAAAAACTATAAGAATTAATGCAAAACACTACATTAAGGAAGTCAAGTAATATATTTATTGGTATGTATAAAAATTGAGTGATTTCCAAAGAATCCACTCCCAAATATTTAATCGTCTCTATTTATTTATTAATTAATTTCAGGAGCATCACAGTTGCTATTATCGTAAAAACATCATAAAATCATTAAAAAAAAAGAAAAAAAAAATGTCAACAATATATTAACTATAGAATAATTATTTAAAAAAAAAAAAATACTTGCACCCGACTTTACCCAATTTCTTTTTGTAGCTGCAACAAAGATATCAACTAGGAATTTTGACTCATTGGTTGACAAGGTATTGCAAATGATAAACTAATTTTCATTTTAACAGGGTGACGATGTTGTTTTAATTGCCGTCCCCTCGGTTATGCTAATCTGTTTCTCAAATATTCAGAATAACAGCCTTCACTCTCAAAAGCAGCAAAGAGCTCAAACATTGGAGATAAATCCGCTGATGTGGGTCCCTCTCCTCGCAGCAGGTGACGCAGCAGCGCGGAAGTTTCTGACCCGAGTTCTCCAGTTGTTTTTCCGACTCGATAGGGCGTTTGAGGGGCAGATTTTTCTCATATAAAGAGAAACGGGGCTGTTAGAGGAGAAGGACCTTCCACATTTTAATAAGGTTTTTTTAATAACATCCAACATGAAAAGATGGGATATAGGAGAGATAGGATTCTGCAAATCTGTGGCTGTGGAAATAAAAGTTGACCTTTAGGAAGAGGAAAGGAAATCCATGAATACATATAATACTTAGAGGCTACATCCAACACTCCGCAGATGAATGGTATGAACACGTTGTCTACAGACTAGAAACTATACAAGGCTGATAACTGAATCAAACTCAAGAAGATATGACATATTTGTAAACCTGGTATGTCTAAACAAAGGCCCGCGGGTCAATAATGGCCCATTATGGATCATAAACACAAGTTCACATAGTCATTCAGCCAACTACAGCCAACCTAGATACCTCGTTGTAAAGTACAGAATCTCTGAAATCCAGTTGACTTTGTTTGATTGCATGTATGTATCTGGTGAGTAAACATTTGTCATTCAGCCAACTTCCGCTTCGTCAAATATGAAGCAATGCAGATACCTCATTATAAAGAACAACCCGAAATCAGTCAATCTGTGTGGTCAGCTCCTGGACAATTTTGTTGAAGGCAAATGGCCCTCTGACAAAAAACGTGGACACCCCCGATTTAAATCAATTGGGTGGAGGCCATTATCTGCTGTCAATACAATCCAACGTCTAGCTTACGACTTACAAAGATTTTTAGAAGAAACGCCAAGTCTAAGCAACAACTATTCCCTCCTCCCAACACAAATAGAAATCGTTTTGCCAATCCAAAGCGATTCAAAAATGTGACTGTTGCATGCTTTCAACAGACTGTATTGAGAATGTCCAATTGAGGAATTTAGTGGTTTTGTGGAGCGGGGCCAAGCGAGGCGTCTTGGGAGTGATTTTTCTCCCTCTCCTTCGATTGAGGCTATCGAGAGACAGATGCCACCGCAGATAGGGAGAAGCGGTCGGCGCAGTCAGCACTAAGCTCCTCAAACTTCTACAGAAATAATGAAGCCGTCTGTCACCATCTGAAGGACCAACTTCTCGTCCAGTATTTCGGCGAGTCTTCAAAAGCACCATTTGTAACACACACTCAGCCAATTTCTACTTTTTTTTAGTTATTCTCGCGCACGGCATCAAATCTATGAGCGTGGAGAATATTTTAATAACATTTAATGAGGGTGTTTTATGAGCTAATGGATAAAGCTGTTTTTTGGATAAACCATTGCAGCTGTCGAAATAATTAAACAGAATGAAGGATGATTATTATTGTTTTATTTAATTTTAGCTATATGGATTATTGAATTGTGATGTAAGGCGACCTTGAGTATCTAGAAAGGCTCCTAAGAAATAAAATACAAATAAAATCATTAATAACATGTCCACTCAGTTCACAGCGTACTCTTATATATCGCTCACCTGCAAAGTTAGATGTCAGCTTTTCATTTTGAGACCCAATTTCACTGAATATGACTCGACACTTCCGACAGATTGCATAAGGTGAGAGAGACTGACTCACTGCCGATCACATATGCCCGCACGTACCTTGACGTCCACGTGTGCCATCAGAACTGCAAAGTTGGTGAGATGGGTGCAGGAGCAGGTGGTGTGAGTGCGGTTGGTCCCCAGTAATCGGCAGTCCTGCGTGGACCAGTATCCAGACATGGTTTTCTTAGAGTAACTCCAGAACGAACAGTTGGGGTTGAAGTTCTCCCCCGATTGCTGTGAGGGTGACAAGCAAGGAAAGGCCAATGAGAGTAGAACATGGGCCACAATAGTGGTTTTAAAGATATGCTAGATTTGAGTAAAGGCTGAGTTTAGGCCCTGTGGCTAATTTAAAAGAAAAAACAAAAAAAAACATAACAAGGCATACCCTTTTAGAATGTCCACATACTTTTTGTTGTGTGTATTTGTGAGAGGGGGTTGGGAACAAAAAACATGTGCTTCATCCAACCCCTTTTCAAACCTGTATTAAGTAAGTAAGTAAGCTTTATTTATACAGCGCCTTTCACAGACCAAGGCCACAAAGCGCTTCACAGTTAAAACAGACAAAATACAATTTAAAATGTGAGTACAAAAAATAAAAATATAATGGCCAAGACAACTCAGTGACAGGTTTGAAACAGCCGCAAGAAAATTATGTAAAAGCTTGCCCAAACAAATAGGTTTTTAGCTGAACTTTGAATGAATCAACCGACTCCATCAGCCGCAAAGAGAGTTGGAGATTGTTCCAGAGCTTTGGCACAACAGCCTGCAAGGACCGGTCTCCCTCAGATCGCTGATATAAGAGGGAGCCTGACCATGCAGAGCTCTGAACGTCAGCACCAGTATTAGTTTGAAGTGTTCTGCAGGTTTGAAATAAATTGAACTAACAAACTTGCATAGGGGTCTCTCGCCTTAACGTGGTATAATCCAATTCATTTTGTTCTTTTATAGCCCTAAATCTCAACAGTAGTTATCTCGGAGGACTTAACAGAACCGTCAAATTAGCATATTAGAGAATCAAATACAAGAAAGGCAATGATAAAAACACACAGAGCCATTGTTCCATGGGCACCTTTCGCGGTCTTTCTGTTTCGCTGATTTTTGCGTGCTTCTTAAAGTCGTGTGTCTCATGTGTCATGCATACTCCAACAACATCATGTAACCGCTAGTATAAGCATGACAGTTAAAAGTCAGAAGAAACCGTTTGTGGCTTGGGTGCACCACAGTCATTAGTTCAGAGCACAACCGCGGTCTTTTCGTAGCTCTCCTGCCCCTCAGCGCGGTGTCCTCTGTCAAAAATCCGTGCATACACTGTAAAACACTGCTGCAGCAGCGCTTAGTTCAGGAGGTTGGAAAAGTATACGGAGTGTGTGGTGAGGGGTTTTACAGCCTTAAAACATATAGCTTGCGAGTTTGCCGATTTCCCATTTTGCGGGTTTTTATCATAGACTGTATATATTAACGGACGTAGTCAGGCCTATCTCCGCCGTTCTAACTAATGGGCCAAAAATTGGGCTTTCATGGAGTGATTCAAAATAGCGGCGGGGGCCGGAAAATGGCAAAAAACACATCTGCGCATGCGTCAGCTACACAAGCCCCATTCATTTAAACGAGTGACTTCAAAAATTCACAGCGACTAAACTAGACTGGTCCAGAACACTCCCTCAGCATTGACACACATGTGGAACGGAGCTTTGGGCCAAGAGACAACTTTTGGACCATCCTGCAAAGACGTTTTCAAGAGGTAAGAAGATGCTATATGTTAGCATTGGCTAATTCTTATTCCGGGTCCACCCCCACAGGCCCGGGGTGGTATTGCAGCATGTCAGTGCACGTCATTTTGGACACTTTTGAGCCGGGACCCGCCCCTACTAGTTTTTACAGGGACAATAAACTTAGTTCTACAGGCAAAAATTACAATTCTGGACTAACCTTCCATCTGATATGTGTGGATACATTTACATTTACACTTGAACAAAGAAGGTGATTGGTAGAACCTCCAACACGAGCTAATCTCTAAAATTGTTTGTTGCACTTACAAGGAATGGACAATGAGAATTATACCGTTGGGGAATAAGCTGGACAATCCGACCAACTTTATGACTTTCTCATCGTACAGACATATTCCAAAGTCAGCAAAGTCATTGCATTCATGGCGTCGGTTCAGGACTGCGCGCTGGCAGGTGGCTTCGTTTACGCAGCTCAGAGCCCTCCGCCCCACGCTACTTTTCAAACACTTTACCAACACCTGACCTTGGTCTTTAACTCGCACTGTTTGACAATGCCCTGCCTTCGCGTTTAATGTGCACCACCTCTGTCGCCTCCCCGCTTGTTCTCTAGCCATTTATATTTAAGGCGTTCGCACACTACGGGCCCGGCGCAGTGACACATAACTGCTGATAAATAGATACATCAAACGCCATTCCTCTTGAGCCCAATTACTTTGTGGCTGGAAAAACAAAAAAGGGAGGCTCCAGTCGCCATCTCCTTTTGCCTCGGTTTCTCACATCTTCCAAGGTTAAGAGCTCGCCCTCTCTATAAACAGTAAAAGAGTGCAGTTGCCTCCGTTTCACACTTTGTGCAAGGTAATTAGTCTAATAAGGTTCATAGTCTGTGAATGTAAATTTGCCGCTGAGTGGGTTTACCCTTCACACGCCAAATGTACTGTAAAAAAAAAGCCACAGCGAAGAGATGGGATGACCCCCTGTCCCATTAATGGCTTTAATTGGGACCATTAAGAGGAAAGGCCGGGAAGTGTAACAATAACGTCTTCCGGACAATGATACTAAACTAAACGAAGGAACGGACCCCTGGAGACAGAGATAGACAATTTTTTTTTTAAATATATGGAGTAAGATAGATTCAAAGGTAAGGTAAAATTGAATGAGAAAACCTGTGTCCAGCATAGATTGCAGGAATTAAAGGATTGCAACACACAGTACAGAGAACCAGGAATTGGAAGCCTTCACGGGCTGAGTGGATAGCACTCTCGCCTCTCAGCAAGAAGGTCCTGGGTTCGAATCCCGGCTGGACCAGGGCCTTTCTGAGTGGAGTTTGCATGTTCTTCCCATGTCTGCATAGGTTTCCTCCGGGTACTCCGGTTTCCCCTACCACTAAAAATATGTACAATAGGTCTGGCATGTGCCTCCTGTTCTGGCGACCCCAGTCCCAAAAATAACAACTGTAAACCGCTTTGAGACTCCGATGTGCAGTGAAAAGGCAGTATATAAATAATGATTACTTACTTAATAATTACTTACAATAAGACAATGAGGATAAAAATCTATAAAAACTATCAATACTAAAGAGACAGACATTTAATAATGGTACGGCTTAGAAAGTGGTTTGAGGAAACGTATACATTAAAAACTGCCGAACTGGTAAACTTATATTTTTAATTACCCGTATATTAATGCTAAACATGACCCAAACCCATAACATTTAGACCAGGGATTCTGGACAATACTCGATTCAACATGAAAAATAAATCGAAAGGGCAATAAGCTAAAAATAATGAATCTCTCTTTTTTACCGATAATTTCCAAAGCTTTTTTATAATAATATGCCTACATTTATTTTTAAAAGACTTAGGAACAGGGGTGTAGGGTCAGAGAGTGTTTGGGCCTGTGTCTGTGGTGTGTTGTGTGTGTTGTGTGTCTGTGGTGTGTTGTGTGTTTTGTGTGTCTGTGGTGTGTTGTGTGCTGTGTGTCTGTGGTGTGTTGTGTGTGTGGTGTGTTGTGTGTCTGTGGTGTGTTGTGTGTCTATGGTGTTGTGTTGTGTGTGTTGTGTGTCTGTTGTGTGTTGTGTGTGTTGTGTGTCTGTGGTGTGTCTGGGGTGTTGTGTGTCTGTGGTGTGTTGCGTGTCTGTGGTGTGTTGCGTGTCTGTGGTGTGTTGTGTGTCTATAGTGTGTTGTGTGTCTGTGGTGTGTTGTGTGTCTGTGGTGTGTTGTGTGTCTGTGGTGTTATGTGTCTGGGGTGTTGTGTGTCTGGGGTGTTGTGTGTACTGTATAAGTTTACAGCTGTTTATGAATGATCCTGTACTTGTACTGTACTTTGTGTTGAATGTGTGAGGGCGTTGGAATTCTATAAGCGGTTGCTTCATCCACCTCCTTTTCAAACCATGCACTTGTCTATCTGTGTCCATCCATCCATCTTCTTCCCCTTAATCCATTTCTGGGTCGGGGGGGGTGGCAGTCAGAGCTGCACCCAATTCACTTAGCACCAGCCCCTCACTGATCCTCTGCAGGTGGTGAGTCCACAGGAGGACGGCTGCTCTGTCAGTGACAATACAGCCTTGATTTTTCAGCGGGGGCTTCAGGCAATGCAGGGTTAAGTGTCTTGCCCAAGGACACAACAACAGCAGTCATCAGTGGGAGTCGGTGGAGAAGGTCCCGTGGTGGGCTAGAACCTACAACCTTCAGGCTCAAAGGCCAGTGCTCTACCAACTGAGCTACTGTCGCCGTTGTCTATCTGTGTGTTATGTTGATTTTTTGCGACGATGATGATGTCTGTGCAGGTTTTGAAATAAATATTATCTATCTATCTGTAAGTGTTATTTTCCCAGATGTGAATTTGCTCTAATGTGATATACTGTGAGTACTCCTCTGTATCAAACATCCAAGTCCATCAGTGCCTAAAACCTTTTCTTAAAACCTTTTGAATGCTCTGAGACACGCCATTTTTCTCCCTCTCAATATTTCTACACCTGCATTTAATCCAAATATTATACTGGCGCTTTGAAGGAATAATAGGCATTATGCTCCAATGAAACTCAAATTAAACGGATATATCCCTTCAGAATTCATAAACCACCTCGACTGCAGCCCGTGCCATGCCGGGAGCACAGAGATCAGTTAATTAGAAGTTATTTTAAGACCCCCTTTGATTGGTTATCCCTTTACCAGAGATTGGAGAGCGCTTGATTTGATTGCAGCAGGGGCAACAAAATGACAATGCCATACACGATGCCGTTTAATGAAGACAGCTTGATCCCAATGAACGGAGTCTGAAGAAATGCCCTGATATTATGCAGCAGGAATATAAAAAAGCCGCCATAAAAATTACAATATCAAACCAGAATCACAGTTTACGCTTAAGAAAAGGTGACTCACCACAATAACTGCGCTGCCCTTGCCCCCTTGACATTTCCTCGCAGTTTAATTTTGACACTCGTGAGCTACCGTCCTTTTTACCCCCCGTATATCCCTTCGGGCTCTATTTTTGTCACGCTTTTACTCCAGAGACCACACGACGATTCTCCAGTGGTTTCGCCGGCATCAATGGAAATCGCTGAGGGCAATATTCACAGAAGAAGCCGTAGAGTGTAGGGAGAGGAGTGAGGTCTATGCCTACATGTAAATGGAAGTATTTGAATCTAAAAAAAGACGTAGCATGCTTCTGTGTGCGGCGTGGTGAACATTGTTGACGTTGTTGATGATTTAGAACATTTGAGAAATCGACAAAGACCTAATGGTGCTTTCAGACCGGACCATGCTGCGTCGGGTTTCAATGCAAAGTCTACGGTGGCGAGCGTTCGACCGTCACAACGCACGGACCTCTCGGCACGCACGAACGGACTGTTCAGTAGACACGCACGGACTTTGCGGGAAAGTCAAAGGGAAGGAGCAGGAGCGAAAAATGGACGCCCACAGGAGATGGATTCTGCTCATCCTTTCCTTGGAACGTTTGTGCAACAACCAATCAGAGAGCAGCAAAGTGGTCACGGGGACATTAGCGGACTGAGCGAGCAGACTGAAAATACTCCTGAACAGCCAAAACAGGACCCACACCAGACTTCACCAGAACTCAAACCAGGGCTGACAATGGGGGACTTTGTGCTTGTGAACATATGCGTAGTCATGCTCCCGTGACCTAATGCAACTGCTTCCAGTGTGTTCACCAATGCGGAAATGCCATTTAATAATATGAAAAAACGTATGGGGCACCTCCGTGAACACATACTTCTGTTATATGAAGCCCGTGGAAAGTCTCTGTTCAAAGACACGCTGCAAAGCTGCATATTGGAGAAGATCTGTACACAAGAAGCCGCTAGCATAGCTCTGTTAGCATTAGAGCCAGCCGGCTACTTCCGGTACTTCGGGCTCTAGTCAGGACGTTCTGGTGTGAAGTCCTCTGCGTCTGAAAACTAGAGAATGCGCGTCTGGTGAGGGGGCTTCAGCGTTTCAGCGTTGGCGGTCTGAAAGCCCCATAAGCTGTGGGATCAAGGTCACGTCAGTATTCTGTCCAACTCTATGGATCTGAGCGCTTCCCTTTACACAATATCAGCAGAAAAGTAGTCGCAGATTGAAAGTTGGAGAACCTACTGAAACGTTTAAGTTTGTTTCGTAGATATCTTACAGGCTCACAATGTTCTCTTTAAAAAGTTGTTTTTTGAAAAGCCAGATCTATTTTAGTTCCATACAAATGAGGTTTCACCGCATCTTGAGCAATTTTACATACTGAGATTATCAGAATGTCTGTCTTGCATTGCATGGGTAATATTTTGTGATTTGGCAAAGTTAGATATTCACACTATGAGGGAACATGGACTTTTGTTTTCCTGCAATATATTCTGCAATACATAAAAAATGAATACAATTTAGACAAACCTGTAAGTGCCTGATGGTGAAAATGACCGGATCCGAAAGGTAGACTTTGTTTGAGTCCTTGTTGATGGCGGCTGTGATGACCGGGGAGTTGACGATGACCGAGTAGTTAGTGGCCATTGCGTCGTTGCCCAGCTTCATGCTGGCGTTGTCCGTTGATAAGTATCCTCCAATGTGTTTGTACAGGACAAAGGCGATGCGGATCTCACCTGAAAAAAAAAAAACATGGCTCAATGCAAAAGAATCCAAAAAAATTCATGATCTTTTCCTTACTATATTTCACAATGTAAAATATGTAAAATAAACTATATTATTATATTATTACGGCTGAGTGGTTAGCACTCTCGCCTCTCAGCAAGAATGTCCTGGGTTCGAATCCCGGTCGGAACAGGGCTTTTCTGAGTTGAGTTTGCATGTTCTCCCTGTGTCTGCGTAGGTTTCCTCCAGGTGCTCCGGTTTCCCCTACCACTAAAAACATGCACAATAGGTCTGAATGTAAATGAGAGAGTGAATGGATGGTGTTGCAGCTGATGGTCCAGTGTGTTCTGGACTCGCTTCTGTCATCACCGTGTGTGGAAGGATTGGAACAATATCTGACTCTGAACTTTGTAAAGTGTTTTGGGTCTGTACCTTGGTCTGTAAAATGCACTATATAAATAAACATTACTTATTTACTTACTATTCATTTCAAAACCTGCACAACATAACACATTACTCAGACATTTATACAGTATGCGTGTGCATGATTTGAAAACACTGAAATATATTATGCACACACAACACTTCCTTCAGTTTCATATGAGTAAAACTATTTATGACTGTATGTAGTTATTCTATGTATATGAAAACAAGTGTGAAGCAAGAACAATACCTTGTGGCAACCCTTTGCTTCCAATAACCATATAACACTGGCAGCCGAAAACATGTCGGATTATTTTTCATCAAATGCAAAACTTCTCATGTCTTTTTGTCTGTTCAAATCATCGGTTGCTGCTTTTTAAACACCAAAAGTAGACGCCAAGGTTTCCAAAACACTTCTAAACAAACCAGATATCAGCCTCAGACAAAGAGCAAGGCTATTTTTCTTGTGAATAATTTCTCCCTTTTCTCTTCACATTCGCACCTCTCTAACCTCCTGCCGCCTCACATTTTGAGCACACATATAAAAGAAAGTTGCCTCCCGCCGGGACCAAGATCACTCACTCAGATGAAATGAAAACAATCGCGGTGCTGGTGTGGCGAACGGCGGTGGAAATATCTGCTGCCCCGGTATAATGATCAGCCCGGGCGCGGTTGGACACGGAGTTAGTCATCCCACGGAGAGGCAGCGCGCACAACAGGGGTCCATTCTGATTTGCATGAGCTAGGTAATAAAATCTAAAAATGGCCTCCCAAATAGAGCCATGTATTGTGTCTTAACTGCCTCTTTACGGTTTGGAGAATGGCGAATGAATATCTTTCTAAAGACGCCTTTGTGTTCCTTCGACTGTATAAAAGATCAAAGTGCTATTTTATTCAGTTCAACCAAGGTTTTATACAACGGCCGATGTAATGAGAAGCTATAAATATGTAAATATAGCTGGGATTTGAGACTGTATAACCTAAATTTTGAGAAATAAACCACTCTGTAAAGTGAAATTGTTCATGGTGAAAGGGAAGTAACAGGTGGTTGAAAGAAATGACATGTAAAATCAATTCGAGACATTCGCCGTTGGGTTGTTAGCGTGCGATCTTTCCTCACAGCTGGTGTCAAAGCTGCGGAAACGTAACTTACTTTGTGCCCGAGTGTGTGCGCCGTTTTTTTCAAATAAAAGAAGAAAAAGTGGCTTTGTATGAAAATAACATTGATGAAGATACTGTACTTGACGTGACAGTTAAGTAGCAATAGCAGCGGCTGTTTTGATTATCTTTGCTAACTATGCTAACAACTATAAAACTCACAGATAAGTGTGTGTTCGAAAAGGTAAACTTAAACAGAATCAGAATCATTTTTATTGCCACCGTAAAGTAACAAACAAAGGTTACCACTTGGAAATTGTTTTACGTTGCCAACAGCCTGACTAATTATACAAATGTTTAATTGACCCTTAATTAACCAGTTTTCAGAATCTCTTATCGATGGGAATCCTGGCCCAGAGAGAGGGGAGTTATTGTACACGTTTTAATTGGTAGGGGAAACTGGAGCACCCGGAGAAAACCTTTGCACACACAGGGAGATTATGCAAACTCCACTCAGAAAGGCCCTGTCTAGAGGGGGAATCGAACCCAGCACCTTCTTGCTGAAAGATGAAACAATCTCTCCATTAAGAAGAATTTGGATGTGAAAGATTGTTTAAGTTAAATTTGGAGATCTCACCATTTCGTCCATGTTGCTTGAGTGTGTTGGCCGAGAGGTGGATGGAGTTGCCTTGTCCTCCTGCCTGCGGAAACTTCAGATCAGGCAAATTTCCATCCGTGCTCATCCTCGCCACTTCAAGTTCTGTGAAAAACAAACGAAAAACACACATACAGGTTATAAAAATGGAAATACTATACTATAAGACTTGACTTTCAAATGAATTGTAAAATACACTCCTTCCTTCCTCAATGACGTTTCTCGGCTGGGTCTACGCAAGGTTTGAGAAAACAGTTATCTTGGCTGGTCTAACGGCTGCAAACTGCAAATGGAAGCCCCCTCAACCACTGTCTCACCATCAATGTGTCACTTATTGTGTTGTGTATCCTTAATACAAGAGAAAGCATCTCTGGGGTAGCATGTCCTTTAAATTATCATAAATTAAGGTTCATAATTTTACCTGGAGCGATACCAATACCCTATTTCAACCAACAGGTGGCAGAGCAGAAAGGTTACAAAAAGAACAGATGACAAAAGAATATTCATATCCACGGGTCTTTGGAAGTGCAAATACTAAGCAACTTGGCAAACCATGGCTTTTACTATTGTTCCATTATACAAGAATGTGCCTCAAGAACAAGTACGGCTCAGAAATTGTGGTCATAAAGCAGAGGAATAAGAACTGCCGAAAGGAGGAGGGCAGAAATAAAGCTCATTGTATCAGAGTTATTAGGAGAAGATACAATTCAGTTCAATAAAGCAGCCCTAATCTCAAGTAGCCGTGACGTGCATGGATTCCAGCCATTGCTAAATGTCATGTTTGCTTCAAAGGCATTAGAGAGCTTTGCATGGATTCACTGGAGATATAGATCTGATGTGATAGTCCACAAACAATAGAAGGAACACAGAGGCATTATATCATTATGAAAAATCAATACAGACCTTTTTTATAGAAATCTGCAGACCTAGATAGCATATAATGGTATAACTATTACTGTTTCTGCAGGGAAATGTCAAACACAAGAATACCATTACAGTCTTGTGAAGTGGTGCGATGATTCATGTCGATGGGATTCTTTGTGACTACAATAGAATAGGGTTGAAAAGGATTGAAACATGTCAGTCCTTATTGTCAATAAAAAATATCAAGATATGTATGTAACAGTAATGTGAAACAAATTGAAACATTATACGTTCTACAACAATACTACCTTACTTCCTACAATACTACTGTGATATCTATGGCACAGGATGCAAAGGCAAGGCAAGCATCCAGAAACGTCTGATAACTCTTAGATTTTGAGAGTTATCAGACGTTTCTGGATGCTTGCCTTATTTTTAAAGTATTAAATGGACTTGCTCCTCCTCCCTTAATGGATTTTATATGTTAAAAAAAACAACCATGGAGTCAGAACCACTGTAGCTGTACATACAAAGGCACAGGACTAAATTCAGCCAAATGGTGGCGTCCATCAGAGGCACAACGTTATGGAACACTTTGCAGGAACACGTTTGAAACTGTGGGACCTACCACACATTTAAAGGAGTCCTCAAACCAGTCATGCTCCCATAGATGATCTGCTCTTCCTTGGGCTTTCTCTTGCTCTTTCTCTCCTCTTTTAAATTCTTTATGTCTTGCTTGTTGACTTATTGTTAGTACTTTTACTAGCTGTGTGCTTGTGTGTCTCATACCTTCTTTTGGGACAATAGTAGTAAGTAGTAAGTAATCTTTATTTATATACCGCCTTTCACAGACCAGAGTCACAAAGCGGTTTACAATTGTTATTATTTGGGCATTTGTCTCCACACAGAGATGGGAGCGGGGTCGCCAGTACAGGAGGCGCATGCCAGAACTATTGTACATATTTTTAGTGGTAGGGGAAACCGGAGCACCCGGAGGAAACCTACGCAGACACGGAGAGAACATGCAAACTCCACTCAGAAAGGCCCTGGTCCAACCGCAATTTGAACACAGGACTTTCTTGCTGAGAGGCAAGAGTGCTATCCACTCAGCCACCGTGCCACAATGGATGCAATTTAGCTATTGTGCTAATTCCAGCATATTTATGTTGATGCTGTTTGCAGACACATTGATGAATATGTACTGTCCTAAATTAAAATAAATACAATAAAGTCACTGAGAAGCGTTTACAACCAAGCAGCTTTGTTTGTCAAAGTTGTGAAAATCATAATAACATTAACTGCTATATAAATATAACAGGACAAAGTGTGTGTGGGGACAGAACGGTCAAGAAGCAAAACCACAAAACCAAGAAAATAACAATCGCTGTACGCGCAATGGATCAAAACCTTAGACTATAGGTGTCAAATTACAGAGAAATCACAAAGTTCAGCTTCAGTTTTCCAGCTAAGCCCTCTAACAGCAATGTCACAGAGAAATGTCTTCATGCCACACTCCGGCGTCAGGTGTGAGAACGTGCAGCCTTCATTAAGCCTCATGAGGCATTCAGTCGATGATCTGATGCCAGCCACGTATGACACCCCACACTTTGATAAAGGTTAGCCCAGCAGAACACCTAATCCCGTTTTTGTATCTCTTCTCAAGGCACACTAGGCTGCCACTCCAGCCTCCTTTGTTTGAGATTCTGCTGTTTCTCCATCTGTAAAAGGCCACAGGGTTCTGGCCGTCCAATCGTTATGCAACTTAGCAAAGACAATACCCGAGATAGCTGGCGATTCCCTAGATCCAATGTTCTCAATAGGGGAAGCATTTTTCTCCTTTCTGTTTCCCCCCACGCGGCAGTGTAAAAGAGCTTACGACGGGCTTTGGGGAATTTCTTTGATGCCGCGGTAGATGTTGGACCCAAAGGCGATACCTTCAAAGCCAGGGTTTAAATAACACGCTAATCGGCAGAAATCTTTTAGTAAGATTATCGTGCCGCAAGTGAAGAGCGGATGGAGAACACTTGCGGCAACAAAGGCGAGATTGTGTGACGAGTAAACACAAACAGCACAAACGGACACAATGGCTTTGAAAGTGAAGGATCTTGTTAAGAACTCGAGGGTAAAAGAACCATAGAGGATTGCTATGGCTGTGTCATACGAGTATAAGCACTGAAGAACATGACCTGGCACCCAGTACATACCTGCTACGTCAAATTCCATCTGTTATGTGTCCATCAATGTTTATTTTTAATTATCTAGTAATTTATTTGACATGGACATTGCACAACACATGTATTGCTCAGACCAGACATAGCTACTAGCTGATTTTCATCCATGGTACCTTAACAGAGCCAAAGTGACAGTAGGCTTGTAAAATCTAACACCCTTAACCACTAAGAGACATAATATATACATAAAACACAGTTATTTACAGTCTGTTTGATGACTGCACACCTGATTATCTTTGAGATATCTCTTTAAACCGGGATTTTAAACTGTCGCACTCCCTCACAGATAGAAGTGAGGAGTTCCGGGCCCTTGCTGCTTTGATAAAGAAAAAGTTCTGTCTAAATGAGGAGGACCTAAAGTTCATATAACAGTCTCCTCTTGATGTGGCTCTCGTGGATCTGAGCCTAACCTCCTCAAACACCTTCTCACGTAATAAATATTTAACAATATTGTGCTGTTTTAGTATAATATAGCGGATTTACAGATGGAGAGACATATTTCAAAGTGTATTTATGGTTATTCTCCCCTCACTGCTTGGTTGGTGGTAAGCTACTTATGTAACCGCTTGCCTCGGGGAGTACTGATGGATAGTTGCACGTCTACGTCAACGGCCCCTTTGATCAATAACTCGCTTATCAAATACATGTAAATATGTGGAGAGTGTCTTGCCCAAGGACACAACAACAGGATGTGCTGAATAGAGCCGATTCCCGTTTGAAGACTGCTTCTTGCTTGATAAACCCGCTCTTGGTTGTGTTTGTTTGTGTGTCAAGATTACTATTTTTTTGAATATGCGACTGTGGGAATATTTTTCATCAATTCGTAATTTTACCGCTAGCTCCATCTGTAACACACACTTGGCACCTTCTTCCATTTCCATGCCTTTCAAAAGCGAGAGATCAATCATTAGCCTCTGCAGTGATTACTAGTGTTTAATGGGGCTCCTTGTCCTCATTTAACTGCCCTGCATGGCGTGAGGGATTGCAGGAGCCAACAAAAGCCAACTGGCTGCGTAAAATAAGCCACGCAAACAGGGAGATAAGACCTAGTAAACATGTCACCAGCACATAATTAACCAGACTACCACCGCGAGCTGTAAAAACGTACTCTGATTGTGCCGCCGCCGCCGCCGCCGCTGCTGCCGCCATTGCTCCCATCCCTGTTTCCAAACGAGCTGCTTAATACCCTGATGAATTGTGTGCCAGATACAATAAAATCCATTTTATTAATTCTCAGCTACCTCTTTAAAACTGCAGACCTATATTTTAGGTTGCCATGGCAGCAGGATTCACCCAGGACGAGCAATTCATCATAACAGTATTTTTGAACATAATCCACTGGTCCCATAGGTTTGGCTTTAAAAAGAGGAAATGCACGGTGCAGCCTGCGACAAATGTTAAAACAATGCATTTAATCTTGAAGTGCCACCAGGGGAAGGAGGAGAACATAACAAACGGGACATTGGAATGCTGTACAACTACATTACGCATTTATCCTCAGAAAATGAAGTAAGACATTTTCATTTTGGCATTAGAAATATGCCGCCCATATATTGTTGTATAGCAGCACGTGTATATCATGTGTATGCTTATGTGTATATATGTATAAATGTTGCTACTACAGACACTGACATGTGCAGCAATAACTTATTTTGTTTTTGTTTTGTGTGTCTGTTCTGAAAAAAAAAAAAAAAAAACGGCGTAACTTTTTGTGAAATGTTGTGGCTTCTGTTGTGTGATTAGTTAAATACACTGAAACCAACTATATTTTTACTTTTTGCAGTGTAATTGTGGATGTAAAACCGTAAAACAGAATATCCACTAGTCATTTAAGTTTACATCATTACAACCAAGTGGTTACTCCACCTTGACCTGTCCTTCTCCACCCAGAGGCTACTCCACCTCTGCTGCTGTGACCCGTTCTGCTCCACCCAGAGGCTACTCCACCTCTGCTGCTGTGACCCGTCCTTCTCCACCCAGAGGCTACTCCACCTCTGCTGCTGTGACACGTCCTGCTCCACCCAGAGGCTACTCCACCTCTGCTGCTGTGACCCGTCCTGCTCCACCCAGAGGCTACTCCACCTCTGCTGCTGTGACCCGTCCTGCTCCACCCAGAGGCTACTGGGTGGAGCCTCTGTCCTGCTCCACCCAGAGGCTACTCCACCTCTGCTGCTGTGACCTGTCCTTCTCCACCCAGAGGCTACTCCACCTCTGCTGCTGTGACCTGTCCTGCTCCACCCAGAGGCTACTCCACCTCTGCTGCTGTGACCCATCCTGCTCCACCCAGAGGCTACTCCACCTCTGCTGCTGTGACCCGTCCTTCTCCACCCAGAGGCTACTCCACCTCTGCTGCTGTGACACGTCCTGCTCCACCCAGAGGCTACTCCACCTCTGCTGCTGTGACCCGTCCTGCTCCACCCAGAGGCTACTCCACCTCTGCTGCTGTGACCCGTCCTGCTCCACCCAGAGGCTACTGGGTGGAGCCTCTGTCCTGCTCCACCCAGAGGCTACTCCACCTCTGCTGCTGTGACCTGTCCTTCTCCACCCAGAGGCTACTCCACCTCTGCTGCTGTGACCTGTCCTGCTCCACCCAGAGGCTACTCCACCTCTGCTGCTGTGACCCATCCTGCTCCACCCAGAGGCTACTCCACCTCTGCTGCTGTGACCCGTCCTGCTCCACCCAGAGGCTACTCCACCTCTGCTGCTGTGACCCGTCCTGCTCCACCCAGAGGCTACTCCACCTCTGCTGCTGTGACCCGTCCTGCTCCACCCAGAGGCTACTCCACCTCTGCTGCTGTGACCTAAAGGGCTGTGGCTGATTATTACTATTATGTTTTTAGAATGATCAATTTGATTTTTATTTTTGCTGCTACTGGACACCTGAATTTCTCCTGCAGGGATCAATAAAGTATCTATCTATCTATCTATTTCAAACTGATCTGTGACATATTTTTTCCCCAAAGTAAACGTGGCCAACAAGATGAAACGGCGCACATTAAAACAGCCAGTCCAGTAAAACTCAACGCCAACCCCTTGTATTAGCTCCTGCAGTGGTTGGCGTAACACTGCACCTTCACTCTCATGCTACCGGCGGTTTAGAGATAGATCCCATTCACTCCAGACACGTGCCAGTAAGCAAGCGACACCAATACCAACACGATCATTGACAAGAACCATTCATTTGCAGCTATCAGCGGCGAGCATCCCCCGTTAAACCTCACCCCCAGCCGAGGAACGGCCGTTAATCCACTGACCTTCACACGCGTTCTTCGGCCCGCAGAGCTGGAGCCGTCAATACCGGAGTGCCCCAAATCAATACCTCCACTGTGAACTCCCTGACCCCATAAAACAGCCTGGCTCAAGCCGAATGAAACACTTATAGAACCATGAAAGCAATAGGACCCAGAATAGAGCATAGAAGGCCAGAAGCCATTTTTCTTTAGAGAGGATAATTGTCTAAATGTCATAATTGATCAGACGGTGGAGACACGCGCACAAGGAAACCTGTTGCAAAGACAAAGCCAAAGTGGTTTGCTCCAGCGGAAAGTAATTACTGCAGCGCTGAATTATAAAGCCACAATTCAAACACATTATCTACAGTTAGGAATGTTGGTTTCAAAGTCAAAACTGATCGTACTGGAGCCAATCATGCACATATTGAGTAAGATGTAACAATTTAAAGAAGTTTTTTGTTTCGTTTTTTGAAGACTTCTGGAGACTCCCCATCATTAAAGTAACACTGAAACTGCCCAAAACACAGTCTTCTAAGCACAGTGTGAAGTATTTTACGCTCATTGTTTGCCTCTTTGAAAACATAAACCCAATCATAATTCCTACATTTCAAGGCCAATATTTACCTGAATATGCAGCAATGCACAGAAACTTCAGTACTACATTTAGTTTGCTCTCGTTACTGAAAATCTGCTGCTTATGCAAGCCCCAATGCCAATTTGTTCTGTGTCTAAATGGTTTTATCACCAATTCTCTTTACAATGCAGCTTTCCGGCTCTAATAGTGAAATCAACTTCAAAAAGTTTCTTGATTGCCACTTTCTAATTTGCCACTTTTCGGAACATAATATATCCTGCATTTAACATGTTGCACATTTCTTACTTTTTGCACAATCTTGAGTGTTTCTATCCATGCCAGATGTGACATGTACATTTCTCCTGTGTGAGATTAATAAAGTACTGTATATCTTATCTTATCTTATCTTAAAAAGCTACTTTTTAGATAAATATAGATTTTTTGATCCATTGCTATTTTGAAAGAGTCAGATATCTAAACATTGCAAACAGAAGCATAAACCTGCTTTTTATTCCAAATGAATCCTGAATAGATTACAATTGATTTGAAATGTCCCTGTGAGTATATGTGCATTGTATTGTAACATATGGTATTGTATCTATAAACACCAGCGACACCCAGTCCTATTCTTTTTCCATTTGAAATTACTTATTGACTTACTGATATTGTCTGTGGTTTCTTGCACTATGTCCGTCTTGAGCAGATTGTCGGCCAGCACAAAAGCCCCCTGCTCCACCGTGTCCAGCAGAGTGGTGGCTGCCTTCAGCTGGTCTCCGGTGCTCAGCTCTCTCCACGCTGCCTGAGCCGGGGGCTGCAGCAAATTGTTCACTGTCTCCACCATCGCCTAGTGAGACCAGAAGGATATTGATTTAGTCCAAAAAAAAAGTAGCCAAGAAAAGTATAGACAGACAGGCTGCTATTGGAGCTATGTCAACATGGTGGTTTTCATAGTGGAATGATGAGATGCAAGATGGAGCAGTGTTATAAGCCAAGTTCATGGTAAAGGGTTAGGGTTGGAATTAAATGGATGGAGAAATATATAGTTTTGAAGTTGAACATTCATGAAAAAGAGGTGTTATAATGTATATTTGTTGACATGGTTTACAATGAATGCATCTGCAAATAAGTCTATACATAAGTCTTTCCACATGAGACAAAACATTTTTCTTTGGACAGCATAACAGTAGCACACTTGTAGAAGAGAGATTCAGATATGAGGATTTCACTGGCTTCAAATGTCTTTATGATAAGCAGAAAAAAACATTTGATGAAAGTAGCATTGACGATATCCAACACATGCTTTATAGAAAAAATTAAATGCGACAAAAAGGGCTGAGACTGGTCGATGAATGGTCTTCTTCAAAGCAAAAAAAACTAGTATTTTTTTAAATTGAAAAGTAAAGTATTATTAAATATAAAGGATGTTATTTAGTTCAAAAAGGAATATTTTCAACCAAATCTTTGAATGTTTAACCTTGAACGTGGTGTCATTGTACAACATGATGCAAGATGATCTACCTTAAAATGTGAAATAATTCATCCATAAACATTGCCTTAAAAATACTAATAATTAAAAAAAAAAAAAATACAAAAATAAAAAAGCGATGGAAAAAAAATATTGTTCTTGTAAATATGTATTTTGAGTTTGAAATGAGTAATATGATTTTTTTTTTTTTTTTTACATAGTTGTTGTAAATGCCCATGTCTGTGAGATGATGTCAGGATGGACTTACATAAGCAGACCAATCCTTTCTTGGTTGTAATACAGTCAGTGAACGTAATATCTGTTTTTAATCAAATAATTGACCTAATAAATAAATACATGCCAGTTGATAGAACTCTAAAACTTAAAGACTGTATTTTCCCAGTGTCGATAAACTACTTCTGTTGCCACTGACGGGCACACTGACAGAGCAAGGCAACCAATCTGTGCCATCGGCCTCTCCAACAACCATCCATCACACACACACACACACACACACACACACACACACACACACACACACACACACACACACACACACACACACTATTCTAGGGGTAAAGTGTCTTGCCTAAGGACGCAACAACATTTTGGCACTTTACAGCCGCAGCCGCCCCACTGTGATCTCTGAGGTCTCCCTTCAAAGTACTAACCAGGCCGTACCTGGCTTAGCTTTCAGAGGTCTGACAGCATCAGGCTTTCACATGCAAGTGGTGCCAATCAAACAAGTTAGGATTGTGGATGTTATGTATTTTTGCTAATGTGAAACTATTTTGACGATTGTGAAATATGGCGTAAAAAAATCTATTACAGTAGAACTAAGAGCATGAATAGAAAGAAAGCAGAACATAAATATTGGAAAAAAGGCTCAGAGTTAAACCAGGCTTTGACCCGATTAGTTATCTTCATTTAGCCCATTTTCTGTCGGCCTTGTTGATATAATTTTTCATTTGTTGGATGCAATAATCATGTAAATAAATCACGAGGAGAAGACTCCAGGCCAAAACTTGCATGACTTCAGGCTACTAGTCCTTAATTGGTGTGATTAATGCGCTCCCACTCCCAGACAATCCCAACACACAAAAGCCTTTCTCCAAACGTAATTTGGAAATATCACAAAATATTAAAACAACCACAGCCCGAAGCTAAAGTGGATAAAAATGTAGTCGCTTTTCGGAAATATCTGTAACCACTGAGATAAAATCCTGTCTGCAAGTAATTGGAACACACTTTTTTTTTTACCATTGTGGTAGGCACGGCAAAAAGCATTCCCTGAGAAGGAGATGCAAATTTAAGAGCCATTAAAGATTTAAAAATGCCAATGGTAGGATTTATGAGCAAGGTAGCACGATCCATTCCCAGTAAGTGTTTGGAAGAGGAGCACGAGTGAGGCAGCGCTTGGAAATTAAAAGCTATGGGTAAGAAATGGCAGGTGGGTAATTGCCAGATTTGTATCCATCTCTCATCAATTAAAAGCCAGAAAATCAACTGTTACATCATTGTGTATAAGTAGTTATTTCCTTTGGTGCTTCAGTCTTATGCCTAGCGTACATCGGACTGGCAACTGATTATATCCCCGTACACATCGACAATCTGGCAAAAGTAAGTAAGTAAGTAAGTAATGTTTATTTATATACCGCCTTTCACAGACAAGGGTCACAAAGCGGTTTACAATTGTTATTTTTTTTTTTGGGCACTTGTCCTCTCACTCCACACAGAGATGGGAGCGGGGGTCGCCGAACAGGAGGCGCATGCCAGACCTATTGTACATATTTTTAGTGGTAGGGGAAACCGGAGTACCCGGAGGAAACCTACGCAGACACGGGGAGAACATGTAAACTCCACTCAGAAAGGCTCTGGTCCGACCGGGATTAGAACCCAGGACCTTCTTGCTGAGAGGCGAGAGTGCTATCCACTCCGCCACCGTGCCGCGGGCAACTCCTGTATCAGGCCAGTCTGGGGAATAACAGCAACTGGCCTCAACTACAGTGTGTTTTCTAACATAAACTGTAGAGGGCGCTATACACGCAATACACACATGTTGTTGGAGCACATCGGGTGATATCTCCGGATCTGAGGACGACTAGCTGCCGAAAAGTAGAACACTGGCAATTGACTGAATCCGGAGATCGACTGTTTATCTCCAGTTGTAAGAGCGCTCACATCGACCGATTTCGGAACTGATCATCTCCATCATCTACTCTCTGTCGCCAAAAGCTGCCTTGAAACTAGTTGTCGCTAGGCTTTAGATCCAAGTGCACCTGACCCGCTTTAATGTAATAATTCATTATCAGCGGCCGATCTCTCATCACACCTTTTGACACAGAGTTATCAGCAGAGGTCAATTCTGGCTCAATTAAAAAGCCTTTGTGTTCTTCCTAGTTCCACGGTCTACTAATTCTTTCATGGTTCACTCAAGTAAAGACTTCGTTCTCTTTCATACATGCACTATATGGAAAGATAAGGTGATGGACTTGATTTTTCCATGCGCAAACAAAGTGGAGAAATAAATGTACACATACTGGAGTGCCAAAGGGACTGGTCAAAAAACTGTAGGTGGCAGAGATGGGAGAATGTATAATTGATGAATGAAAGTGAAAACAAGAGTGCGATGTATATTACGCTTTTTGATTGGAAAAATAGAGAGATAGAGAAACAGGAGAGACATATACAGAGGGAGAGAGAGACAGATACAGAGAAATAGACATGAGAGACAGAAAGAGAGACAGAGACCAATATTTCCATTTTATTCCTAGCTACATCTCTATCTCTATCCAGAATCCGCCCTCCTCCAAGGTAAAATGGTCTCGAGTCCATAGCTTTTTCAACCCTATATTTTGTTCTTGATTATAGATGACCGATGAGCCCCTTTGTGTGACTGGAATGATGTGATGCAGCACATTTTGAGCCTATATCTCCTCTCCAAGCAACGCATTTTCTACCTCACCGCTGTTTAAATACAACCATTAGCACAGTCCCACTCCAACTGTCAAATCGCCTACATCTTCTGCAGACATCTCCGACCATTTAGGCTGCTAACAACAGCGAAAGCCGTAGTTCCTGGGTGGTACACGAGGAAATGCTAATCTGGAATACAGACGGGAGGAAAAGGAAGGTGGCCGATACACTCAGAGCTTGGCAGAGGTCCAAGAAAACGGGAGAGCGACCAATAAGGACTGTGTGCTGCTGTCCGTTAGCTGATTGATGAAATGAACTCTAAGGTTGGCTAAATTGATTCTGGCTCATATCTGGCTCCTCTCCTGATTGCTCCTCCAAACTTATATATAGGTACATCACGTAATCTAAGCAGGATTTGTGTTGGCTGTGTCTTCTCTTATTGAACTCCATGTCTCCTGTTGAGGTGTTGCGTCAACCCCCCTGCTTTTTCCCTTGCAGGCCAGACCGTCTGTCTTCTTGTGAATCTCTGCTACCACCGATGTTTAATATTTCATGGAACCTCCCGTCTCGAGTAAGTGGGAGATTGAGTCTATACATGTGAATTATAGACGAATAGCTGTGCATTGAAAAGCAGGACATGCACTTTCCATATTCAGTGCCTGGCGCGTTGGTCTGACTCAAACTATTGGTGGTAGGTGACGCAAAACTGCCTCGGCACATGATGGCTTTCGTCAAACGGGCCATTTTACGTCATTAAAGTGATTGTCTGGAGTTTGTCAGAAAGAGACAGAGAGGTACTTGATTTGAAAAAAACGATGCAAGCTCCCTCCCCCTTCCTTTCTGATTGGTCTACACCTACGTTTCCGTAACACTTTGAAATGTTAATCAGAGAACACATTATACATATACATTATTAATATACATGCACGGAGGTTTTCAGAATTATTTGTGAACGTTTTAATGAAAAAAATAATGTTTTTATGCACAAAAAAAGCGATCGCGGCAAACCAGGAAGTGCTATTATCATGAATTGCACATTATAGGACACATCTGCAGAGGATCTGATTATGGATATAGGTTCAATATATAAATGATTATGGATATAGGTTCAGTATATAAATGATTATGGATATAGGTTCAGTATATAAATGATTATGGATATAGGTTCAGTATATAAATGATTATGGATATAGGTTCAGTATATAAATGATTATGGATATAGGTTCAGTTTATAAATGATTATGGATATAGGGTCAGTATATAAATGATTATGGATATAGGTTCATATATAAATGATTATGGATATAGGTTCATATATAAATGATTATGGATATAGGTTCAGTATATAAATGATTATGGATATAAGTTCAGTATATAAATGATTATGGATATAGGTTCAGTATATAAATGAGTACCTCAGCGCGGATGTTCAGAATTCTTTGTTCAGTTTTCATGTTGTT